CTCAGTTTTTTAAGAAATTTGAACGGGTCTTTAGTGCGAAACTATCCCCTGCAACCTCTGTTCGATACACAAATAAGTTAATAGATAAGTTGCGGTTGGAATATTTGGCTTAAAAACTATTACACTTGTAAAATTTAAAAAAAAAATGACCCAATTAATCAGAATAGAAATTTGGTAAAAGAGCACTTGGATTATGCCAGCAATCGACTGATTTTTGATTTTAATCGATGATTGGAACACCATTACCATATATGCAGAAATTTCTAATGAGTATTAATTTTAATTTTGGAATTTCTAGTGAGGGTTATGAGATTGCTAAGAATGAATATCGCTAACAATTTATTTCACATTGGAGGACACCATTTGTCTTTCTAGGTATCATAAAATCGCTAAAATTACTAATCACTTAAATTAAAGACTGATTTTTAAGAACAAATTGCTAAATTTGCGTCTTGCTAAAAATTCCACTTCTATGGTATTCCATCCCCTGACTGACACAATATAGAAACCTGGTGCTCACAGAAGAAGAGTTTTGAACATTGATAACATTAACTGATTGTTGTTAGGCACACCAAAGAATTAAAAAAAAAGTCTTGGTATCTTTATTGACAATTCTCTTCAGTTTAAAGTTGTTTGTATATTACTAGTATCTCTATATGTAGGATTATAGATATATTTTCTTACAATAAAATCATGTTCCATTCAAGAAATATTATTCATTTAATGATTTTATATACTGTACACTTTTTTAAAAAAAATGGAGGCAAAAGAAACAATTCACAACAAGGAATATATAGTTCCAGGAGTGAAGCTACTGGTGTCCTTATAAGTTTATGAAAACAGTCAAAACACATTACATGTATATTATACTACAAAGTACAATTATAATTATTTACTATAAGTCATATTGTCAGTTTGTTACATGTGTGCTCACCACTCAGAATTTTAGCTGTGACTGATAAAAATTCATCAAAATTTGAAGATATATGCATATGCAAATTAGAATGAGAAGAGTTTGTTATAGAAAGGTCGTGTCACAAGTCATAGAGAATACCTGTTTCCTATTGTATAAGAATAACATGGTGAGGCAAAAACTTGAGCCATATTACTCTCATCATTAGCCTCGCCCTGTATAATCTCTCATAAAACAGGAAAGATGAACTCTAAATATTACAGGTACTCATAAACTTACAACTAAAATTTCTCCATCATACTCTTCTCGAACTACTTTTTGTAAGCGTTCCTGCCTGCAAATTACAACATCCCCATTCATTATACAGAAAGATACATGTGTATATAAAACAAAATAATAAAAAAAAAATTATTAACTAAGAAATGTGGTGAGGGGTCTGTGAACCACCCAGCAGGGTTGCAAATATAACCACTTGCCCACTAGCAAATGCTAGATTTTGCCTGTGGGTGACCAACTCTTGAGGATGTGATTGCCAACATGGCAAGTAAGAATTTTTTCAGAACTTTTCCAGAACTTGAGCATGCTTTGATTCTACAATTAAATGAACTTTCATTTTCAGTGTTTCCTACCTACAAAATATTTTCTAGACACTGAACTGCCTTAACATTATTACTTTGTGAGGCCTCAAAATGAAGGAAAACATAAAATTTCATGCAATTTCATTCATAAATCACTCATGGTGTCAAAATCATCAGAAAAATGAATGATTATGGACAGCAAAGTACACTTCTCAGAGGTTAAAATGCAAAAGACTGAGATTTTTTTTTTTACAAAGTGGTGAGAAAATTGTGGGCCCAAAAATATCAATGTGGGCTAGTTAAACTTGTAAAGTTGGGGGCCCACATGGCCCCCAAGATTTTAAATGTTGTTTGTGACACTGCCCAGTGGGTCCTGGGGATCCCCCCCCAAGTTTCTAGACTTTGGTGAGGGGTCTGGAGACTGCCCAGTGGGCCACATGAGAAAAAGTCTGTAAATTTTGTCTGACGTTTTCGGTTCTTAGTAATTCTGGTATCTCTCACTCTCTCTCTCATTATATACAGTAAAACTTGTCTAATCTGGACACCACTGGTTCCAAAGACATTGGCCAGATAAGACAACATTCCGGAGTAGACAACATTTAAAACAATTGAATTTACTGCAAGGTACTCCGTATTAGACAAGATTTTGGATTAAACAACATCCAGATTAGACAAGTTTCACTACATGTGAGCATGCATGTTCATTGTTTCTTTAACATATTTCTTTCATTTTTTTTTTTTAAATTGCCAGTAACTGTGTTTTGATATGTAAGTAGCGACATTCCTGAAAAATGTTAATTACCGGTAATGACTTACATTTGCCATCCAAAGTGTCTGGAGTACACCATGTCAATGCCTCCATCCATAAAACCAAAACTATTAGTAGGGGACACCTGAAGTTGATAGAATAGTATGCTGTGATATGTTTGAGAGTATTATCGTTACTTAACAGTATGTGTCTATGACTGGTCCTACTAAACAGAGAACCCTAGAGAACCCTAGAGAACCCAAGGTTTATTTGATGAATTCAAATAAATTTTATATATAATTGACATGATTTTCAATTTATATATCGTATTTTATCAATAAAATAAAAACAAGATTATTTTATGAATGTTTTCCCTCGAAAATAGTTGAAAAACGTATTAACAAAATATATGGTGAAATATTTTATGTGATCCCGATTTAATTTCAGAAGACGTTATTTATTGTAATAGTAATTTTTTCACATAACTTTACAATTCTTTTACACACTATATGTTATTTAATTTTATTTTTAAGGGAGCCGACTGGGGTTTTATTGTGTGAAACTCTTTAATTTTATACCATATGTACCTCACATTGACTTCAGTATACATGCCAAGTTTAGTGAAAATCTACCGTTTGGTAATATTTAGGGACCATCTCAAAATACAGGTACATTTACAATAGGATAGTATGGGAAAATACAATTTTTTCACACTTCTGAGCAAATTATACAAATGCTACTATAGACTTTTTGCTCAAATTATATTATTTGTTGGGTAATACTATATTGTACATTTTGTGCAAGAAACACAAAATTCTACCGTCTGGTTTTCAGAGGGGGCATCTCAAAATGTCAAAATTCATGATATTTTCCTGTTTTTATGAAGTACAACAAACCATGACAGATACCACAGATTTACATAAAAAATCATAAAAATGATTGTTAGATTCTCAATTTCCTATGATTTAAATTTCAAGAGCATGTATTTTATACTTTTTATTTTATGGCATAATTAATGACCCCTCTTAAAGAACTTCGGTTATTCATAACGTCAAAAACACACTATTACGACGTCTATCTACCCATCATTTGAAAAATCGTTTAAAAAATCAGTTATTTAAAAACGTAACTAGATTTTTTAACCCGAGATTTCCTAAATTTGTTAATCTTTATAAATTATGTAAAAATAGTTGCTTCAAAAGAGTAAATATGCTTTATTTTACTATGCTGCGCGAAGTATTGTGCAATGAAAACCCCAGTCGGCCCCCTTAAGTCATGCAAAATTTGTTCCTAGCCCTTCACTCTGTTGTAAAACATTAATAAAATTAATTTTTACTACTTTTATCACAAAAAAGAATGATAAAGTTCTCAGAGATTAGTATTCTGTTGAAATTAAGCAAAACATGGCATATAATATTCTTTTTTCAAGTTTTATTTTGTTTTTGTATGATATATTGATTATTTAAAACATAAATATTTCATTTACATACAATAAATAATTAAAAATCATTAGGGTTCTCTAAGGTTCTTTAGAGTCCTCTAGGGTTTCTCTGTTTAGTAGTATACCTGTCTGTGACTGATACCATTATAGGAAAAAAAAAACTTAATCATTTCACTGCATTAATTTTTCAATTATTCACAGACTTTGCTTTTTGAACAGTTACTGATATAGTGATGAAATACACATACTAAGGCAGGAGCAGCTGGGGCCTCCTTAAAAATATCGCCACAGGAAATCTGTTACCAAAAAAAAAAAATTAAGATACATTTCTAACATTGTACATGCAAAAAAAATATGATCATACGAAGTTGAATTTAATGCACAAAAATTAAAGTGTACGTAAATTTGAAATAAATAAAAAAAAATCAATGACAATATCTTGAGTGAAAACTTGCACAATGTTACCAAAACAACTTCCTCTATAATCTAACATTAACCAGTTAAACTATCAGGGGCCCTCCGGTGGCCCGGGCTACAAAGATTTTCATGGGAATTTTACCAATAAATTAAATAATAAACAATAAAATAAATAATGGGACTTACTTGAACATTTTTATAGGAGTCAGAGAACACAGACTTCCATGCATTGACCATTCCTGGTTCAATGTCTCTCAGTATATAGTCAACATGTGTCGGACAGCCTGCTGCAACATCATCTACTTTCACTTTGTCCTCCTCCAATCTCCTAGAGGGAACCTGTAACCACTGGTAACTGTTATCAAAGAATTACATTTCCGCAAAAAAGAGTAAGAAAATATTCTACACAAATGATTGCCTTAGCTCATAAAATATATCTAATGCAGTTATGAAATCATTGCAAACTTAATTTGAAACTTCATTCTGTTTCAAATTAAAATTTTTACTGTTTTCCAATCAGTAAATTCGAGGTTGAAACGTTTCATGTGAATTCTGTCGTGTTGAAACCCCTGTCTGTTTCTAAGAGCTCGTAGTCAGCAATATTCTTAAAGAGATTAAAGAATTATTCTGAGATAAATATTTTTACAAAGCTAGCTTTGGACGGTTGACCTTCACTTTTTAGAGGCTAAATTACGATAGCGTATTCGTGTCATAAACCAGAACAAAATGATTTCGGTAACCGAATTATTTGTAAGATCAGGACGTATATACTATCTTTTACGAATATCCAACATCTTTTAAACGAGTTTCTATGTCTGGGGCAACGATTTTCTAAATCAACTTCCCATTATCAAAAGTGATTATCACCTGCTATATGAAAATGGCGCGAATACGCTGTCGTACACGTAGTATTTTGTTTCAAAAGTGAAAGAAGAAAAATGGGTTTCAAAGTGCTTTGGAGAAATCCACATGTAATTATCTAATTTTACTTACAGTTCTTATTAACAAGTTTATTTTGAAGAAAATAACTTACAAAAGCTTACATTTATAATGTTTATGGCTGCATGGGTTTGCAAGAATCATACTTGAAAAAATGAATGAGGGTGTGTGTCAACTAGCACCAATCATAGACGAGAAATCTGTAGAGAAGTGCACTTAAGCTTATCGCCTCATGTGAGAGCCATGTCAACTTTATAAATGATATTGTAGCTACAGTATCTGTACTGTTTTTGTAGCCCTACATTTTAAGTAATTTCTGTAACAATGTTATAACATTTTTCAAGGTCAAAATTTGCAGAGAATGAGAGATACATGTATTATACATTTATTGCATAAAGCTCTAAGGGAATATGATTTTACTTGGCTGAATAAATCTTCATATTTCCCAAACGTTCTTGCAATAAATTGTTAATTATACTGAAACAAGCCAATCTTATTTTTCAAAAAATAAACACAAACTTAAATATTTAAGGTACCGCTCTTCAAATCATGCAAGCAGGGACCTATATACTAACAGGATAGGCAACTCTCGCAAGTCTCGCGAAAGCTCGTAAGTTGCGGGATTTCGTTAGTCACTTTTAATTAAATATATTTCTTTTGCTATCAAATATTTCAGAATAAAACCTTAATTTATCTATAAAAAAATTATTCAAGATTTGTTATTAGCACTGTTTTTATTCCTTAGCTTAGTAGTAATTAGTACATTTATTTAAAAATCAGTACGTGCCCCTGATCGGTCGTATTTCCAAGAAATCGCCGATTTTGGTAGTTGTTTACTTAATATCTAATTTATTTTATAATATGTGCTTTAAAATTTATTAAATATCCATTCTGATACACAAAAAGAACAGATTACATTAATCATAAAACAAGCTTTTTACTGGGAAAAAACGTAGTTTGAAAAACTTGCAGTGTTGTGTGTGCCGTTTTGGGTAAATAAACATGGCGCTGAAGGAGTTGCCTATCCGTTAGTATATAGATCCCTGACACAAGTTTTAATTTATTTTTTGTAACTTACTTAGATGGTCTACAAAATTTCAAAAAAGCTTGTAAACTAGCTGATATTAATTAATAATGTGATTTCTTAGGAAAGTCAAGTTTTAGCTGGCAGATGATTAAATGACATTGATTTATTAAAAGTTATGTCATATTTCACCAAAATTTATCAATTTGCCCTGCAAATGAGCAGTACCTCAATTATCATGGAATAATTTTAAGACATGCCTTGAAAAGAGTAATCATAAAAGGGCTATTTATTCCACTGTTAAAGACCTCGATTAAAGTGATCCGGTCCATAACTTCGTAAATATTCTGATAGAAGAAATACTTTGAATACAAAATGTATATTCCCTTCTTATGCAAAGTTATGGAAATTATAAAAATTGCAAAATTTAGAACCTCAGAACTCATGGAAGAAAAGGAAATTAAGTTAATTTAAGTGGTTTGTTGAACTCAACAGCTCTTACCTTATAAGGAAGCAAAACTAAACAAGGGCATGAGGATAAGACCTTATGGAAAAACTTAAGGTATGAATAGAGTTAAAAACAGGTTTTGTGTGGCAGAAACATGGTCTTCCAAGTTCCAACACATTTCAACAAATCTTTGAAACATTGTTATGTGTAAAAATGTGAGGTCTTTTGATGTTAATTACCAGTAGATTTCTTTTTCCCCCCAAAATTATCCTTAATGATTCATGTATCTTGACATTAACAAATGAATGTAAAACTTTGGGATAGAGATAAGAGTTTGTCACATACCCTCATGTATTTTCCTTTGTGGAATTGTTAACTTTATAATGAAAGTTTGAGTTATATTTCAGGTCAAAAAGATTGGTGTATTGTGTAGACATTTCAGCAAAGTTAGTGGTCTTCATGTAAGTAACTATTTAAAACATTACATCAACATGCAGTAAGCTAAAATTAATTCTTTGATAATTGTTGTCATCTTTTTCAATTATTACCTCCAAATTTTTTTTTCAAACCAGTGTTTCAAATATTTTCCAAGAACTTTTTCTATAAATTTCAAATATAAGCCTAATAATAATTAGACTGGATTTTGTTATCCCCCTCCCCTCTCAAGTTGTACTTGTGAAATTAAAAAGTTACACTTGCTATTAAAGTTAACTTGTAACTTACAGGAGGTGGTCATTGCCAGTGCTGTGAGGACTCCGATTGGTTCATTTCAGAGTACTCTGTCGCAGCTGAAGGCCCCTCAATTAGGTTCTGTTGCTATAAAGGAGGCAATCAACAGAGCAGGTAATTTTGGTATTCACCAAAATCTCTAACTTGTATATTTGTCTAGGATTTCTTTCAAAGTTACTGACTTGTAGGATCTTATGAATATGTCTGGGACATCTTGAAGTCATTGACTTGTAGGACCTAAGACCTGTCTTAGTAACTTGGACTGGGCATATTTGGACTGTGTATAAGTCATTAGTAATGTATGGCATAGGACTTTTAAAGTTATTAAAGTATAGGAACTAGTACCTCTCCAAATTGGTTGGCTGGAGTCAGAGTGATCTGTCAAACCTTATTACAATTAGATACTACTAGTACGTGTATACAAGTTTAACAGACAACATATCTAATGTCTATCACTGTAGCAATATAATGTGATTTGGTTCAACATTTCTTTTCTTCTAGGTATTAAGAAAGAAGATGTGGATGAAGTATACATGGGAAATGTTTGTACTGCTATGGAAGGACAGGCACCTTGTAGACAAGCCACACTGGGAGCAGGTAAGTAAAGAATTGTGTAAAATGTATACAGTACATGGGGAAAATATTAGACCAATACCTGGTGTTGTGTAGATTTAAGATTGTTCAAATTATGGCCCCTGGAAGTAGGGTGGCACTTTAATGGAAGTTAAAGTTTAACATGGGAATAAATAGGGGAAAATCCTACAAAATCTTCCTCTCATGAACATAGGCCATGATTTGTGATTTTAATATGCAAACATTGTTAGATCAAGTAGATTCAAGTTTTTGACTCCCTGGGGTAGGGTGGAGTCTTCATAAAGAATCAAAGAATGGTTCACTACAACAAATATAGTTGAGTGGGAGTCAGTCTCAAAACCTTTCAAATGTGAATACATGTATTAAAACAAATCTTCAAATTTCCTTATGAAAATCAAAAGCAAAATATCATTGCCAACTGGCTCTGGAGTGCAAATTTGATATTTTAAAATTATTTTGAAGTAAGCTGCAGAGAAAATATCTTTGACCTTTCTGATGGAAATTTCTTGTTGTTATGAAGGTCTCCCTATGTCTGTCCCCACCTCCTCTGTGAACAAGGTGTGTGCCTCAGGGATGAAGTCCATCATGTTAGCAGCTCAGAACCTCATGTGTGGACATCAGGTCAGTCTATTTCATTTTCTCTGACCAGCTCAGAACCTCATGTGAGGAAATCAGCTCAGTCTCTTTATTTTGTCTGACCAGCTCAAAATCTCATGTGAGGACATCAGCTCAGTCTCTTTATTTTGTCCGACGAGCTCAAAACCTCATGTGTAGACATCAGGTCAGTCTCTTTATTTTTCTCTGACCAGCTCAGAACCTCATGTGAGGACAACAGGTCAGTCTCTTTATTTTTCTCTGACCAGCTCAGAACCTCATGTGAGGACATCAGGTCAGTGTCTTTATTTTTCTCTGACCAGCTCAGAACCTCATGTGTGGACATCAGGTCAGTCTCTTAATTTTTCTCTGACCAGCTCAGTACCTCAAGTGTGGACATCAGGTCAGTCTCTTTATTTTTCTCTGACCAGTTCAGTACCTCAAGTTTGGACATCAGGTCATTCTCTTTATTTTCAATAAACAACTCAGTATTTCAAGTGAGGACATATAGTTAAAATTAGATGCCTAGACTTTCAGTGTGCATCATTAGAAGAGATGCATGTATATACCTGTTGAATACACCTGCATATTTTTTTTTAGGAAGTGATGGTGGCTGGTGGTATGGAGAGTATGTCTAATGTCCCCTACTACATGGCAAGAGGGGCCACACCTTATGGCAAAGTAGAGCTGAAGGTACGATAATCAAGAGAAGACTTAACATAGACAGTGTGTGTAGTAATTTACTGTCAGAGGCTTTGTGATTGATACTGTAATCTGTCTCATAGAGATTCAAATTATACAATTGTCTTCTCAGTGAAGTTTGAAGTGTTGAAACTATTATAAAGATGAAAGTTAATGTGCAATTAATTGGATCTCATATGTACATGTCAGAACCTCCATAACTGAAAGTTCAAAACTCATATGCTTTAGAAAAATTGCAGCATTTATGTTGATGTTTATGAAAGTTATATGTTTCAGAAGTTACAATTTTATTAATTTGTATAATTGTACATTTGTTTAAATTATTTATGTATTATTTTGTAGAACACTTTTAAAGTAGAACTGTATATCTCTCATTAACAGGATGGCATTGTCTTTGATGGGTTGACGGATGCCTATGATCATTGTCACATGGTGTGTATTCTTCAGATTACATTTACAAAATAAAAATCCTTAACACTATTGATGCTTTGATGATTAAATTTGAAGTAAATTACTTTTCAAAAGTTTATGTTGAATGCTTTGCTTTAGTACTTAATATGGATGTAAGCTAGACATGTATATCAATTGCCCTGTATATTGTTAACAACTATCAATTTATTATAGGATAAAATAAGATACAGTATGTGTTATTTTTAGGGTAACTGTGCTGAGAACACGGCTTCTAAATATAACATCTCCAGACAGGAACAGGATGAGTATGCTATACGTAGTTACAAACTGAGTCAGGCCGCTGCTCAGGAGGGGATATTCCAGCGAGAAATCACACCTGTGGAAATACCCCAAAAGAAAGGTATTCCTAGTAACTTGGTTCTCAATTTTTTTTTTTTTTATTCATGACTTGTCAAGTCTTGATAAATCCTTATTATCTTAATGTATGTTGCACATATAAATCAGCAATCATAAATCTATAATATTAGACTTTTGAGTGTTTTCCTGTGAAGTACTGAATTATCTGAAAAAGAAGGGTAAACAATAAACATCACTGATGGTAAGTTTATACAATGTACATATGAAACAAAACAAATATACATCCGTGAATGTTAAAAATTTTATGAATATTGCTTGTTTTGTGTGTGAAGAAGTACATACTTTTTTTTTTGAATGCCTTTCTATTTATCAATCCACAAAACTCCAGAAAGGTATTTCTTAATGATTGTCACTTTTCATTCAGGTGATCCAAAGGTGGTCACTGAAGATGAGGAGTACAAAAAGGTCAACTTTGACAAATTTGCTTCTTTGAGAGCAGTATTCCAGAAAGATGGTATGTTCACAACTAAAATAAACCTTTCTTTTCAACATTTGTAGGCTTTATTCATTTATTTTGTGTGTTTGTGTGTGTGTGTGTGTTTGGGGGGGGGGGGGGTAATGGATAACTCCAGAATCATTTTTATTTTCCTTACATGATAAAAATTTAATAAAGGTAAGAACAAAGAGTTTTAAAGAAATTTTCAATGAATTGATCTTTTACTTTTTTGTATGAAAAGACGTAAATTCAAAAGAGGTCTAAATGAAATGTTTTAAGGAAATTCTCAGTGTATCAACCTGTTACTCCTTTGTATGAACAGGCACGGTTACTGCTGCCAATGCGAGCACACTAAATGATGGAGCATGTGCCTTGGTACTGATGACTGCTACGGCTGCTAACAGGCTGGGGGTCACCCCTCTTGCAAGGATATTGGGTAAAAAGAAATGAAATAGAGACAGTACTATTAATAAATTTTGACATTTGTCATGAAGAAAGTATTTAAAATATTTTCCTCTATTTTAAGGCTTTCTGGATTTGGATAAGAGATTATAGTTAGTTGATATGATTTGTATCTTTGATTCATAAGTACTTAATGACACAATCCGGATACTGTAGTAATACAATTACCATTATAACAACTAGCCAGCAAGTCCTCAATTTGATAAAGATCACCTGAAATTCATTTTAAAGGTTCTAATATTAAATTTTCTACAGGTTTTGCTGATGCAGCGAGACACCCAATAGATTTTCCAACTGCTCCAGCACTGGCCATTCCTAAGGTATGTCTTCTTAAGGGCTTGCTTGAAGGGACAACTTTAAAAGTCAAAGAAAACTAGCCAGACTCTTAATTTAATTGTACATTCTACAATAAGGTTTCATGTTTAATTGTACATTCCAAAATATGATTGGTTCCCTCTTTAATTGTACAATATGACAGGTTCCATCTTCCATACATTCTACAATATGATTGGTTCCCTCTTCAATTGTACAATCTACAATATGATTGGTTCCCTCTACAATTGTATAATCTACAATATGATTGGTTCCCTCTACAATTGTACATTCTACAATATGATTGGTTCCCTCTACAATTGTACAATCTACAATATGATTGGTTTCCTCTACAATTGTACATTCTACAATATGATTGGTTCCCTCTACAATTGCACAATCTATAATATGATTGGTTCCCTCTTCAGGTGTTGGAGATGACAGGTGTAAAGAAGGAGGATATAGATATGTGGGAGATCAATGAGGCCTTCAGTGTAGTTGTGTTGGCTAATGTTAAAGATCTGGACATTGACATGAACAAGGTCAACATCCATGGAGGAGCGGTCAGCATTGGTCATCCTATCGGGTAAGTCAGGTCATTGTCATAAAAGGATAGAAATATTTCCCAGTTAGAAAAAGAAAATTCCTCATTTTTTAGTTTATCCTGTTGGGGGCAGTAGTCCTCATAGGTAAGCTCTTATACATATGAAATTCTTGACTCAATGTACAATCTATAGCAAGGTTACTTATCTTAGGAAATAAATATAGAGAGATAATCAGATGGCTTGTTCTATTTTAGGATGTCAGGAGCCCGAATCACTGGTCACATGGTCCATAATCTAAAGCCTGGACAGAAGGGGATGGCTGGAATCTGTAACGGAGGGGGAGGGGCCTCAGCCGTTCTTATAGAGAGGCTTTAAATGATAACAAAGAAGGGCATAGTTATAGACTGTGATATCTAAAGCAGCTTTTGGATCTCTGGTGTTTGTGAACAGAGTCACAACATTAGATTACTTACAATTTTCCTGGCACTGTCATTTCCCTGGCATGAGGAAGTGTGATGTAATATTTTCTTAGGACTTTCTTATAATTTTCATTAAAATCTGCATCAGTATCTCTGTGTATTGCATGAAATTTAAGTCACAATTGAATTCAACATCTATTGTATTTAAGAAATACACTTTTACCCAAAATATGTCTGCTAATCTTCCTTAAGATAGCTAGTGTACGTATGTATTTTGAGGGGTGGGGGTGTGTTTGTTACTGTTTCTATGATACGGGTGTTATATGTTTTTGTAAGGATTATAAAGGCTCAAATTGAAGTGGAGTTTGTGCCAGGTAATTCAGATGATTTTTGTTGACGTCGTAACACAGATAAAAGTAAGCTACTAACATTATGACAGAACAGTTCTGTGTTGTTACCAATGTGTACGTGTGTTGAATATTAACAATTTGAATGTGCTGTTTGATGATACATGTGCAGCATGATGGTATTATTTATTTTTATTTGGAATCTTATTCATACAGAATGGTATTGGTTTGAATTTAAATTAAATATTTAATTTGATTAAATATTTTTATGGAATGATGTTACTATTACTTTTGTCTATTAGATAAAATGTGTAAATTGATAGGAAAATTGTATTGTGTCAGGGTAGATAATCCAGTATTTTACCACAATGTGTACCTTTTAATCTGACAATATCCATGTCTGGAAATGAAGCACTTATCTAGAAGGTCATGTGTAATTCTTGATGTTCCAAAAATAATCTTTAATGTGACAATCAATGTTAACAGTACATGTATAAACAACCCACATCATGATATTTGGGACTCTTGGATTACCTTGTGTGTGATTTTTGCTGGTTTGTCTCAGCTTTTCCTGGTGGCTAGTGCATATAGTGTATAAATCTATTATGAATACCATACTATTGTGACTAAATGTATCATTAAATAGGGCAAGACTTGATTGTTGATTTATTTTTGTTTGTTAATGATAATTTTATTTGTAAAAGTCCCAGTGTGTATTAGAAAACCATGATCACAAACTGAAGATTGTCAAATATAAAGCAAGCATTCTCTTGCAGTTTAATTTCTGTTTTTGTTCAAATTATAACTATTGTGGAAGGAATTGGGCCACATACAACAAAGAAAATTTTATGTTGCAATTAAGTCTTCTGACAAAATCACATCATGCAAGTAGACTAAAATATGTCACATTAAAATGCAAGTATAAAGGTAGGACCAAGTTTATCAAACTACATGTACAAATAAGTCATATTGAATTTGACACAAGAGTTTGGAAAAATGAGTGTGAATATGGCCAGGGTATATAGTGTTTGTCATGTCCATCTTCCATTCTTCTGTGCATCTATCACACTTTGCGTTTCGCTCAATTTCAAAGTAAGTGTTCAAGATACACTGTACAAACCAAAATTCATAAACTGATACATATTGGTGGGAACTATTCAACTGGGTCATAATTTTCTGACCTCCACTTGCCTTATTACCATGACCTTGCTATCAAATATTTTGCATTTAGCAGCTTTTTTCATAACATTTTCATCAAAACTTGTACACTGACATATAATAGTGGGAACTATTCAACTTTGTCATAATTTTCTGACCTTGACCTGTCCTTTGACCTTGACCCGACTAGTACTATTCTTTTATTTTGCTCAATTCATCTATGTTTCAAGAGACCGCTTAAGATATTTTCATCAAATTCCATACAAGTTGAAAAGCTATACAACTGTGTCATACTTTATTTTACCTTGATCTTCCCTATTACCTTGACCCGACTATTCCTCATTTTCCATTTGTCCAAGTTTCAAAGGTAGTGTTCAAGATATTTTTTATCAAGCTTTGTATACTGATACAATTTGGTGAGAGCAATTAAAGTGTGTCTTTTTTTCTCTCTCTGTGACCTCTGTATTATTGATTTCTTTTAAATTTTACTTTTGTTCACTGGTCACATATTTCAAATTCAACAAAATGTGACATGAGGATCAGATACAGATCTAATACACCTAGTAGCAAAACAATCAGAAATGTATGTGTAAGTATGAAATGTTTGTTTGTTGTTTAACATCCCTCTCGAGAATTTTTCACTCATATGGAGACGCCACCACTTGCCATTGGAGGGCTGCAAATTTATACCTGCACTATGGGCCATTGAGCAGTGAGAGATTTTTCGTGCCAACACCTACTGAGACACAGAACCTCGGTTTATACAGTCTCATCTGAAGGATTGGTCCCGCAGTGGGATTCGAACCTGCAACATAAGGATCAATCAACTCCTTACTCCAAAGTACGAAATGTATACTGCTTATAAGCTAGGAACTGGCCTCCAAAATCTCTTCTCAACCAGAGTCAACGAGGAAACTGAGATGAGGAATAAAAGCATTACCTGCATCTATGCACATCATAGTAAATATTTCCACACATCCACAATTAGTACAATAAAAATGAATAAATATAGGATCTCCCATGATTTGTAGTTGCCAAGGCTCGGGGAAAAAAACACACAATTCATTGGATAAAAATCATATCCAACTACAAAGCATGGGAGATTCTTTTTATCCCATGTTTAATACTTCACAACCAATGTTTTACACCGTTTTATATAGGACTCCACTTTATTTTACTTCATCACACTAACAAAAACCATTGTGACGTCACAACTGCACTTAACTGTGGATTATGAAAAAATTATCCAATGAGTCATATCCACGGGATAAAGGGGTAAACATGGGATAAATATATATATATATATTAAGTAGACTTAGGGGAAAAGAGAAAAATATAGCATCAATGCAATGAATTACATTTGAACTTCAGTGTTTCAAACACTCCTGTCTCAATTACCATGGATATGTTGAATATGGGAGTCCCAGCCATGTATTCTTAAGTATTTTACCTCGAATATCTCTAAGTTTTTTCTGGGTCCCACTGAGTTCGAGGTTTGACTGTAAAACAAACTGTGAAAAACTGTCTTGTTCACTTTTGGTTTTTCCTGCACATTGCTATAAGAAAATGGCCTCAAGATAATGAAATGCTAGATCTACAATTAGTTTAGAATGCAATTTTATTATCAACTAGAACATTTTTTTTCATAATGACTCAAGTAATTGATTATTGATTTTGTGTCTAGAAGTGTATACAAATATAAGATATCATGTACTTATGCCCTGCTCATGGGTTATTTCTTTTTCGGCTATAATTTTTTAACTAAAATAACACTTTTAATACTGAAATATTCAACTACCAGTAATATTATCAAGACAACAAGTCATGTTTTATTGCTTGATGTTGGTAATTCCTCTTGGTACCATTGTCTTAAGACTGAAAGAGCTAAGTTTTTCAAGGGCAATAATTCTTACTTTTTCTTGTATGATGAAAAGAATCAGATCAACTTTTCACATTTTTGACTCACCTGAGCCGAAGGCTCAAGTGAGCTTTTCTGATCACATTTTGTCCGTCGTCCGTCCGTCCGTCTGTCCATCTGTCTGTCCATCCGTCTGTCTGTCCGTCTGTAAACTTTTCACATTTTTGACTTCTTCTCAAGAACCACTGGGCCAATTTTGACCAAACTTGGTACAAAGCATCCTTGGGTGAAGGGGAATTTAAATTGTTAAAATGAAGGACCAAGTCCCCTCACAAGGGGAGATAATCAAGAGAAGACAAAAATAGGGTGGGGTCATTAAAAAATCTACTTCTCAAGAACCACAGGGCCAGTAAAGCTGAAACTTATATGGAAGCATCCTGGGGTAGTGTAGATTCTAAATTGTTCAAATCATGACCCCCGGGGGTAGGGCGGGGCCACAATGTGGAATCAATGTTTTACATAGAAATATATAGGAAAAATCTTTAAAAATCTTCTTCTCAAGAACCACTGGGCCGGGAAGCTGAAACTTATATTGAAGCATCCTGAGGTAGTGTAGAATCTAAATTGTTCAAATCATGACCCCCCGGGGGTAGGGCGGGCCACAATAGGGAATCCAAGTTTTACATTGAAATACATAGGAAAAATCTTTAAAAATCTTCTTCTTAAGAACCACTGGGCCAGAAATACTGAAACTTATATGGAAGCATCCTGGGGTAGTGTAGATTCTAAATTGTTCAATTCATGACCCCCGGGGGTAGGGCGGGGCCACAATAGGGAATCCAAGTTTTACATTGAAATATATAGGAAAAATCTTAAAAAATCTTCTTCTCAAGAACCGCTGGGCCAGAAAAGCTGAAACTTATATTGAAGCATCCTGGGGTAGTGTAGAATCTAAATTGTTCAAATCATGACCCCCGGGGGTAGGGCGGGGCCACAATAGGGAATCCAAGTTTTACATTGAAATATAAAGGAAAAATCTTTAAAAATCTTCTTCTCAAGAACCACAGGGCCAGAAAAACTGAAACTTATATGGAAGCATCCTGGGGTAGTGTAGATTATAAATTATTCAAATCTTGACCCCCGGGGGTAGGGTGGGACACAATAGGGAATCCAAGTTTTACATTGAAATATATAAGAAAAATCTTCTTTTCAAGAACCACTGGACCAATAAAGCTGAGACATATTTGGAAGCATCCTGAGGTAGTGTAGATTCTAAATTGTTCAAATCATGACCCCTGGGGGTAGGGCGGGGCCACAATAGGTATATTAAAAGGGGGGAAATCTGGTAAAGAACAGCATGGCCAAAGTTACTCAGGTGAGCGATGTGGCCCATGGGCCTCTTGTTATTTTAAAAAGACAAAAAACGGCAAGTAAATTTCTACTAATATTCATTCTAGGTATTATTTAAAAAGCAATCTAAAGCAGAGATAGCTTTAACATTGCTGCGTTTGAACACTTTTAGGAAAAATATGTATTTCCATTGTTTGAGTAACTGTGCACCACCTTGTGTGCGATGAGGTGTGGATAAGTATGATTACTTCACATTGTGCTCATGTTAACCAAAACTGGTTTTCTTTGTTATTTCACTCAAGAAGTAACTGTTAGGTCACAAATTAACTGTTGTTTATAGCCCCAAAACTTTTAGAACTTTGATTGCAATTGCGCAGAAAAAGACACATCTCCATACTTGCCAACCTCCAACATGTAAAAATCTGGTCATGACCAGATTTGGAAAGTAAAAAAATCTGGTCATATAACGCGTAATGACATTCATGACACATTTACCATGATTAAATTAAATATATATGCATATATAAGCATTTCTGTATTGAGAATTATTTTATTAAAATGTGGCTTTAACTGAGAATGACAAAATTTTTTATATATATTGATTAAATTTACATGTTAGAAGAGCATTTAAGTAGTAGTTACCGTATAAGTTTTTATTGGTTTTCTCCAGATACCCTATAGAGAGGTTAAAAGGTCACGAGAAGGCGCAGCCTTCGAGTGACCTTTTAACCTCTCTATAGGGTATCTAGAGAAAACCAATAAAAAACTTATACGGTAAGTCACATGTACCATAGCACTCTCAGATTTCCTAATACGACAGAGAGATGATGCATAAGTTGCAAATAAATTTCCTAATATGGTTTGTCACCTGACATAATTATAATTTCACACGCTATATACTGTGCATATATATTACATTTTATTGCACATTTTGTGCACTTGCAATCAAAAAGCGAAAATAGACAAACACAGCGCAATGAGCATGGATCTGGATTTTCTTGAACTTCCGCAAAATTTTGAATGGGACATTTTCTATTGATGATCAAGCTCTCTCACAGATAGGCCAGTTGATAGAGGACGAAGTAAACGTGTTTGATGGTATTGGGGATTTATCTCTTACTCAAACGGATTTTAATTTGACCCAGGAGCCGGTTACACCTGAAAATGTTATACAGCAGTTGGACCATTCTGACGATCGATTTGGAAAGTTTAACGATGACGACGATATGGAAAAGCCTTCTAAAGTCTACCGAGAATAAATTAAAGATTTTGAATAAAATTTAATTGATTTT